GAATCGCTCTGGGAAGGAGAAGTCGCGATTTCGGGGCCGCGAATCGCTCTGGGGGCCGCGAATCTGCCGAGTAGAAGTGGGATTTGGGGAAGAAGGAAGAAGCGCCGAGTCAGAGCATACTAGAAGAAGATTTGGGGGAGAGGAGTAAGCTCCGATCAAGATTCGTGTATCTCCTTTTATTAAGCTGACGTGTCAATTTTTGCCTAGCTGTCGCTGATGTGGTTGATGATTTGGCGCCTCGTCAGCCAACCGTCAAATAAGTTGACGGAGTTATTAACACCGTCAAAGTTTCTAACGGAAATGGCTATATCTGGCACACAATATCTTTCAAAAGTGGCTATTAGTGGTATTTCGTCAAATGTGACTATAAGTGGCACAAAGGTGAAAGTTTTGGCTATGCAAGTGTATTTTGCCTAAATTTATTAAGTGATTAAATATACATTGAGTATAATGGACGGAAGACACTCCGAGTCACAACATAGCCTGATATCATTTTCGTATTAATATTTATATTAGGTTATTATTTACTCATTGAGTGACGTCTCACCCCGTCAATATTTTTCCCAGATGAATAGCTAAAATGGGTAAAGGCCATGGGACGAAGCAAGTTAGAGTTTGACATTGATGAGGTGGGCGGAAGGATGAACTCTCCACATTGTTTCACATGAGCTATTTGAAGATGGGGTTTTCGCAGAGAAAAAAAATGAACCAAGAGTTTGAGTATTTTTGTAAATAGCTGACGATGTGCATACATTTTTATGGGTTTTAAATGGAGAAGAACAGTTGGGTGTTACACAGGGGGTCCACCTGTCTCAAGCCGCGAGAAGGGTAGAAAGTTTCTGATTTGTGACCATTCACCAGAATAGAGTAGGTAACAAATGAAACACATTTCATAATGAGCTCAACCCACTTGTCGTCAAAACCAAGTTTCTTCATAACCCTTTCTAGAAATTCCCATTCTACTCGATCGTAGGCCTTAGCCATATCGAGTTTCGCAGCAAAGAAGCCATCCTTAGTTTTCTCTCTTCACTTCATAAACTGAAAGCATTCAAAAGCCACATTAACATTATCAGTAATGAATCTTCCAGGCACAAAGGCACTTTGTTCTTCCGAAATGAGGTCATCCAAAATCAATTTTAGTCTGTTTGCCATCACTTTAGATATGATTTTGTAGGTCACGCGACACAGACTAATAGGCCTGAAGTCTTTTGTTGTGCTAGGGGTTTTCACCTTAGGGATAAGCGCAATGAGGGTATGATTCAGCTCCTGAGGGAGAGCTACATGGTTGAAAAAGTTTTGCACTGTTTCCACAACTTTACGGCCTAAGACATTCCAATTTTGCTGAAAAAATCCTGCAGAAAAGCCATCAGATCCTGGCGCTTTAAAAGGTCCCATCTGGTCTAGGGCAGTTTTTATTTCCTCGTCATTTATAGGCTTTAGCAAAGAATTGTTCATAGTAGGGGTGACCTTTCTTTTCAAGGCATTAATCACAGAACTAGTATTAGAAGCCATACCTCTCTTGAAAAGAGATTTGTAGTAATCATTGATGCACAGCAAGACTACTTTCTGTCCTTTGAAAACTCTGCTACTGTGATCCCTTAACATCTTAATGGTGTTTCTCTTGCGCCTGGAAGTGGCCTTGGCATGAAAAAGTTTGGTATTCTTGTCCCCTCCTTTCAACCAATCTAGTCTAGAACGTTGTTTCCATAATTCCTCCTCCAGCTGGGTCAGTTCGCTTCTTTCGGATTCCAAAGCTTTTCTTTGTTCCAAAATCAGCTTTGTCTTTGGTTTATATTTGAAGGATTTGAGCATCTTATCAATCTTTTCATTTTTCTTCCTTATGTCTCTGAATTTCCTCTTGCTCCAGCTTAAGAGCTCTGATTTGCAAATTGATAGGATGGAAAGGAGATTCTCATTTGCATTTTCATTGTAAACCCTGTTTATAATGGCTTCACTCTATGGATCATTCAACCAGAAGGGTTCCACTCGAAAGTACCACCCCACTTAATTTCTTCCTCTTCTTTCCCAGCAATGTACATCAGAATAGGGCAGTGGTCACAGCCACAACGATCCAAATGAAAGACCTGGTGGTCAGGAAAGGAAGATTTCCATTCCCAACTTGCTACACACCTGTCAAGCCTCTACTCAATAAATCCTTCATTAGCTCTGCTATTTTTCCATGTGTACGGGTAATTGTTGAAACCACAATCGAGGAGACCATAATGTTCTAGGGCTTCTCTGAACTCCATAGCCTGATACTCATTGATAAGTCTACCTCCCCTTTTTTCTTCACCTGATAGAACTTGATTGAAATCGCCAATACAAACCCAAGGCAACGAACAACCGTTTTTTATGTCCCTGAGCAGATCCCAGGATCTGAATCTGTCTTCACTATCAGCCCACCCATAGAAACCAGTCAGCCTCCATCTTGCTTCTTCATTCCCCTGACCTACTAAAACATCAATGTGATTGAGATTAGAAGAAACTTTAACAATTGAGATATCATCATTCCACAGCATGCACAAACCACCAGCTTTCCAGCCTTTATCATTCCTAGCAGCCACACCACATCCACCAAAATAACCCAGTTAACGCTGAATTTCTTGCCAACCACTTTCATCTTTTCTAGTTTTCATAAGAAAATAACATCAGGTAATTGCTTTCGGATCAGCCTTTTTAATTTAGCAACTGCCGAGGAGCTGCCCAAACCTCGGCAGTTGTAGCTTAGGATTTTCATTGGGCTAGGCGGCCTTGCTCCTCTGCAAGGACCGCCAAATCGCCATCCAATTCAGAATCAGATAAGGGTTTTTGTTGCTTTTCCCCCGAAGGAGACTCATCAACATCCATTTCATCAGGATTTCTGCGTTTTCCCATATCCAATTTTCCTTGATCTTGTTGTTTGGACCAAGGGATTTTCCTGACCATCCTTTGCCATTTCTTTCCGCCTTTGCTCACCTTGTCACTCCTATTTTCTTCCTCTCCACTTTTAGCCTCGTCTTTCCCAGCTACAGATTCTTTGTCTGCCTTATTCTCGGTCAGTTGGACCGCATTATGCTCACCATTTAGATTTTGTTGTGGCTCCCTTTCTTTAACCGTTTCCTTTTCTCTCAAAGGCCTGCCTGAAGCAGACTCATGCACATTTGTGATCAGCAATCCTTCGGATAACTCCTCTACTTGCTTTTCCACCTCCCTTTCCGCCAAGGTCTTCTTTTGATTTGCAATTTTCCCCTCTTGGACTTCAAGCCATAGTCTTGGAAGTTGTTGTGATTTGTCTTTTTCTTTTAACGATAGCTTTCTCGGGGAGATTAAGCTCTCATCCAGGGTCCATAAGGATCTTCTTTGTCTTCTTCTTCTTCCAGTTGTAGTTGAAGAGGGCAAGAACTCTTAAGATGTCCCAATAAACCGCATTTGAAACAATATATTGGCATTCTCTCATAACCAACCCTGTATGAAACTGTACCATTCCTGCTTTGCATTTTGACAACCCTTCTCAGAGGTTTCTGTATACACAGAGAAATCCTGATTCTCATATAATCGTTGGTGACTCCCGAGTGCAATTCATCCCAACGAATGAATCTGCCAAACATAGTTCTGACCTTCTCTGCCATCTAAAGATTCCTCATATTCACCGATAACTTTCTTATTCTGATCCAGAAATCCGCCCATGAAAAGTCCAGTTTTGCTATATCCAAATCTGGTGGGACTTCCTTGAAAATTAGCAGTTGAAGTTCCAGATGCCACGGCCCACCAAAAAGGACTTTGTTCTTGTCATCGTAGCAGTAGAGTTGGATACTGAGGATGTTTTCTTTAATAACTTGTAGATCGAAATCTTTTTTCAGTTTCCAGGCTTCACTGAGAATCCTCTTGAGGATCCGCACTGATGGAGGTTTCCCTTTAATGACTTTTCCAGCAAGACCCAGTTCCTTTATGACTTCTTTCATACCTTCAGTAGTTACTGTATCTTCCAAGCTAATAACCGCCTCCTCTTCTTCTGTCAATTCAATGCTTGAAAGCTTTTTAACTAATTCGTTGTCCATTATTGTTGCAGGGACCAACGCTGACCAAGACAACTCCAGCACCAGGCCACGCAGGGGAGATCAAAAGACGGAGATGAAGCAGGACGGGATTCGCAAGAGCCAAAACATGAGAGGGTCAAGGGATCGGAAAGAAAAACAGAAAGAAGCGAAAGAGGGTGACAAGGAGACAAAGAGCTGATAGAAAATCAGAGAATCACCCCCAAACTTGTGGGAAGATGAACCGTCACCACTGGAAGAGTAGTGAGAGAACATAGAAAACTCTCTAGAGACAGAGAGAGAAACCTGATGTTTGTGTGTGTATTACTCATTATATTGAATGCAAGGCTATTAGGACATGAAGTTATTACTTTCCACTAGGAGCGGCTGCTGAAATCAATGGATACCTTAATCAATATATTACTTTAGGTGTATTGCTCTTATGTTTCAAGCGAAGTCAACCAGATATTGGTGTCTTCATTTTTCTTTTCATTAAATGGAAGATAAGTTTCACTTGGGGTATATAATCCTTCAAGTTTAGATTCCTATACTTCAATCTATTGAAGTTGCTTTCAAACTTAGAAACTGAAGTTACTTTGACAAGAAAATGAAGTTGGTTTGACAGGTGCAATGATGATTTGTGACTCTTGGGAGGACAACAATAAACTAAAAGGGAAGGATGCAAAATTTATTATAGGGATGATGATTGAAATTCTTTATATACGAAAATTACATGTTTTTAATTGAGTTTATATTTCAACCTCGTTTACTAAATGATGCAATTATGCCTAGTTTACCCGGCCAACAGGTCGGGCTCGGCACTAGTTCATATAATTTCATCTAGAGGCAAACTAGTAATCCATATATTCTCGAGTGTTGCCTTCGTTTACTCGAACTTTACAAATCGCAGCACAATACATTTTCAGGTACCATTTAATCACACTAACTCGAATTGTAAAAGAGATTCAATTATACATATATCTTATACCCAAAAACTCCATTTACTCGAAGTAATCACATTCCATTTTATTATCCAAAATGGTAGAGCCTAGCCAGAGCCTAGCTAGAATTTCATTTTTCATGTACCATTCCAAAATTTCCCCCACCTCAAGAGGACTCAAGAAAAAATCCCCCATTAATTAATAATTAACACCTTAAACGACAACCGTCTCCTCCACTCGCTTCTCATTCCCATCCCCTTCACGCGCTGCCGCCTCCCCAACAACCTCCACCTCCTTATACCTATACCACGACGCGCACAACAAATACGCCCCCAAATTCACAACGCTCAACCCCGCCAACAACCAGTAAAAGTAATTCAACTTATCCCGATTCAAATTGTTGCTCTCCAGCCACCCGCCGCTGACCTTATTCACCACCTCCACCACCACCGTGCTCAGAAAGTACCCGAACGCCAGCGACGTCCACGAGATTGCCGTGCTGAGCGCCTTCATCCCGGCGGAGCTCTCCGAATAGAAGAATTCCAGCAACCCGACCAACGTGAACATGTCGGCGGCCCCGAAGATGGCGTACTGAAACCCTAGCCAGAAAACGCTGTACGGCAGCGGAGCCACCGAATCGACCATCCCGTGCTCGACCGCCACGCGCTTCCTCTTGGTCTCGACGATTCCGGCGACGGCCATGGAGACGGCGGAGAGGACGAGGCCGATCCCGATGCGCTGGAGGTGGCGGATTCCGGTGGGGATGCCGGTGAGTCGGCGGGCGAGGGGGACGAAAACGCGGTCGTAGAGAGGGATGAGGAGGAACATGAAGAGGAGAGGGATGACGGGGATTGAGGCCCCCGGGATTTGGAAGCCCAAGAAGTTTCGGTCCATGGTCTGGCTTTGTTGGATCGTGAAGGTCTGGAGTTGGGCCAGGCAGGTGTTCATGAAGACCGTGCTGAGGATAATGGGGAGCATTCGGATTAGGATCTTGGTCTCTTCGACCTGGGTCATTGTGCAGAGCCTCCATGGTTTTGGGCCCGTTGTTGGGCTTTCGAGGTCGTTGGTTGTTGTTACTATTGTTGCTGCCTTGTCCAAAAACCTGTATATATCGTATTATATCGGTTAAATCACGCATCAGTGATAATATTTATAGATTTTAGTTTGGTTATATTAGGTGTATTATAATTTATAGAAACTAAAAATGACCAAGACTAAAGTTAAGTATGTGGGTCATTATATATTGAAATAAAATTGAAGGGGATCGATCATAGGTGTCGCATCAGAAAACTTTTATTGACCAAAAATTGTTAAGAGCTAATAGTGACATGTGAGATGACAATTTATCCCCTAATTCTTTTATTGACACTTCCTACCATGATTGGTCAAGTGGGTTTAAACTAATCAACCCAGACAAAATTAGACTCCACAAAAAAGGGTTTTCTAACCAATCTGTACTTGTCAGACATTGTCATTAGTGAAGCGCATGGACACCAAACTTGTAAAAATATTATTCATGTCACTATAAAAGGACTTGAGAATTAGAGCATAAATCCTCAAATTTGTAACGTTATATTCAACTACTTGTTTAATTATAAAAGAAAATATAATTACAGATTAGTAAATGCCGGTTATTTACCATCTAACTATGGGTTCGTTAAATAAGGAGCTGAGCGTCTGTAATAATTGTATAAATGTGACGACATTTTATTGACAAAATTGTCATCCCATCAATCCGACGGTCAGAAGGCGCCAAACACCCTATCTTGACCTCTGTGAGCATGCTCACAAATTGTTATATAAGCACAATAATCGGGTTGGAATTATTTACACTAACCAAGTGATCTATGTCACCCATAAAGTGCTGCCATAAGTGACTTGACACGAAAGAGGTCATTTACTCATGGGTTGATATATCTACCTGAATTGATGAGTTCTTTGTAGGATTTCACCATTAATTCCTCCTTTCCCTTTCTCTTTAATTTCGTACAACTCATCCTCTGCCGCCGGAGTCGGCACGTTCCAGTTTCTGATTGCCGCCACAAACACCTAAAGAAACCAAAACGACACCGTTACACACACCCTACTGTTTACCAGAAAAAATAAAAACTATAAAAAATAAAAAATATTTTACCTGGGCAAACCGAACAAAGGGGCTGCCGGACGGCGCATTCATCCGGTAGAGCGACTTCCCCATGGAGACAAAAACGACGGCGGACAGCACCGCCACGCCGCACAGCCCGAACCCCCAGTCCCACCCGACGTTGGCGCTGATCCACACCACCACCGTCACGCCGACGATGGCGCCCACCGTCAGGCTGAACAGGAACCAGTTGAAGAAGCTCGACAGCTTCCCCGCGTCCTTGGGGTTCTTTTTGGTGTCGAACTGGTCCGCACCCAGCGACGGCAGCGCCGCCTTCACGCCGCTCGTCCCCAGGGCGATCAGGTAGAGACCGATGTACAGCATGGCCGACTGGCCTCCGGTCGCGGCCTCGCACTGGCTCCCGCCGCTCAGGGCCGCCGCGCTGTTGCACGGCGTCGGGCGGAGCTGGTGGACGCGGGCTTGCACCGTCAGCAGGCCGTATCCCTGGAAAAAAACAAAAATAATGTGCATATGAGCATATCGTTATTATTAAAAAAAAAATCGTTGAATCGTTATTATTATTATTTAAATGAAAATTTAAATTATATTTTTGTAGTTGATTTTGTTAAATTAGAATTGACGTCGTGGTCGGGAGGTGGGGATTCTGTCTCGATCATGTAGGCCAAAGGTTGGCTTTTAGTGGTACAATGAAAAACTCTAACCCCATTTGTTTATTTTTTTCTATCGGAAAATTTATAAGAAAGTTAAAAAAATTCATAGATTTATACAGTTTGCTAACCCGATGTGTTAGTTGCTATGTTTATGAACGGGAGAGTGCTATTTCACTATATTTGATATATTATAGAGATTGAGATTCGTGATTTTCAGTCGACGATCGATAATCTGACTTTAAATTTTGACAAAATTTCTAATTTCGAGAGAATATCAACTATAAAATTTAAAAACGTGTTCTTTCATTGAATATATAAAAAATCCATTACCAAAGGATATGAAAATTAGGGAATGGTTAGCTTCTAATCATAAGGTTTTTTTTTATAGGAATCATAGAGGCTAGTATTTCATGCTAAACATGAGTTGTGATAATACAATTACAATTGTAGTAATGATTTTGTAGTTTTAACACTACAACTCCGACACAATTATAATTCTAGTCGTTGTTATTTTGCAGACGTAAGATTACGATGCCGGCGCGTACTACTGCAAGTCACGATTACGATGATGTTAACCATCTATAAGATTAATTAGCTCAATATCGGTTCCCGAAAAATTGGGTGGAAAGAGCTAAAGAAAGTTAAGTACCAGAATCTCGAAGGTGCCGAAGAGGACGCAGGTGGTGAATCTGGAGAGGTAGGTGTCGGAGAGGAAGCCGCCGAAGAGGGAGAGCAAGAAGGCGGTGCCCATGAAGTTGGTCAGCGTGGTGGCCGACTTGGTGATGCTGAAGTTCATGTATCCGTAGAAGTAGGTGAACAGGCTCACCGCATTAGCCACGAACGCCATGTTCTCCAGTCCTTCCATTGCTGCATGCGCCACACACCAAAAACAACAGCAACAATCAAAAGATGTCAAATGCCATCAAAGAAGAATAGAAAAAAAAAAACCCATTTCTGTGTCACACGCTAGAAAGAGAAAGGGAATCATATGATTTTTACCGAATACAAAGAGGACGGCTCTGCTCCCTCCGAGCCTTCTCTGGACTCCTCCAGCTTTAGCGACCACATTCCCGTCGATTTCCTGAAACACAAGACAACTTTTAGCCACGACGGATGGGAACATTGGGAACGGCAAATATCAACCTCTTAGCGACGACTGAAGAGATGGGTTTACCATTCTGAAAACCCAGGAAAAGGAAAGCAATATTATTGGGATCTTTTCTTAATGGCGGGTGTAGGCTTTTGTTGGACGGCAGATTAGGGCTGTTATATATAGGAAAATCAGAGATTGTGGGGGAAAGGATACCATGTCCCACAAGGTGGTCACTAAAAGCCGGAGGGGAAAATAATGAATAGGAAAGAAGGTCAAGGGAAAGGGTATCAAAATGGGATCGAGTCGCCGGAGAAACTATTGTGGTGTATTTTGTTTTGTTATGAACTTACGAAGAGTGGGGCCTACGTTGTATATATATAAGTTATGTATGTCTTAAGGATGTCTGTCTCTTGTTTATGGACTTCCAGCACGTTGACATCTTCCCTGTGGAGATATTAGGCAAGAGGAATCCAAGTACTTATTGGATAAGAACATTGGAATCCACTAAGTTAATTATGGATGTGAAATGAGGAATTTTACAATGTTATATAGCATTAGTGCTATAGGTTTTTGTCTTTACGGTACAACTTGAAATTGTACCTTTAACGTTATGGTACAACTTCAGATTGTACCTATACTTTTTGTACAAATTCTTTTATGGTACAACTTAAACTTGTACCCTATATGATGGTACAACTTCAAGTTGTACATTAAAGCACCAATACTATATAGCATAGTAGAAGTGCTCATGTCAAATATCCCCTCCGATTAAGAACAAGTTGACATCAATAATAACTCAGGTTATACGAAGTTTACCGTACTAGGGCTGACTATTTGGTCCGGACTGTTTGGTTTTATCCGAAATCGGACCGTATAACCTGGATCGGGACCGGACTAGGATCGGATAGCAAACAATCCAATCTCATATTCGAGCTTAGATTTGAGGTAAAAAAAAACCTGGATAAAGACCTGATAAGAGACTCCAACAATCAAATCCCCACAAGCTCAATCTAAAATCAAGTTCAAATTGGGATTGGATCGGGTCAAGACCGGACCGGACCAAGACCGGAATGTATCCAATCCAATCTTTGGTCCTTATATTCCCAAAAAGACAGGACTGGGACCGGATCAATTTGGTCCAATTTAACCGGACCATACCGTATAGCCACCCCTACCGTACTCTAAATCTAAACCAACGACTTATATTTGAAAGTTGTAAAGATTGGAAAACAACACCTCTTAATCGAATCTCACCCTGATACTATCAATGTAAAATAACGAGTCCATGATCTCCCATTTAAGGTTAGTAAGGTAGGATTGATAAATTAACCTACCACTACACAGTGAATGTCATGAAAGCAACTAGGTACCATACCTCCGCGCCGTCCGCCTACTTGCGGATGCTAGACAGCTGTAGTCTGGATTTTACATAGCTAATCAATAATTAAGGGTTTTCATGTCATATTTCCCCCCTAATTTTGTTATCAATATACATATTTAAACTACAACTACTCGTATACTTACTTATTAAAAGAGAAAATAGACATTTTAACAAGGTTGAAAAAGGCACTAAATATAAAGTGTACGTTGGAATTCTGTCTGGCGCCTGCTGCCTTGCCTAGGCATCACTCGATGATGGAAGCAAAAATAGTGGCTAATACTAAATGATGATGAAATTTTATAGACCATGTTATTTTTTTCATTTTTATATTGGTTGTTAAACTCCCCCTAATTAGTAATTACACATAAGCAAAACCTAGGCGTCGACGTATTCCATTGCCGCATTCTGGATGGCTAACTCATTGTGAAACCTATAGGTGATACATTTTAGCATTTCCTAGTCTAGATTAATGACATGGTATCAGAATTCAAAGTTGATTTGTCCTTCAGATCTCGTGTTCAAATCGTCACGACCCCAATGTTAACGGTTGTCTTAAAGCAAATATTATGCCAGACATGTGCGTTCTTCAAGTTTATAAATTGGTTTTTCGTTTGATTGAGTGTGTAGGAAAGTGTTTAAACTCCATAAATGCACATCTCCAAATAACTCGTGTTATTGGAACCAATTGGTTTAGACACTTCCCTCGATGTAGTTCTCACCGATGGAGAACAAATAAGTAACTTAATTAGTACCGTTGTTTTCCACATCAACGCTTTCCCACGGTGGACCGCAACCGTTGCTTAATTACTCATGAATTTCCCTTTTTCCGGTCGATCATCGATCACTAGGGTTTCCAACTTTGGCCGGCAGACTCAATTCTGAAATCGCCGCCCAAAGGTTTTCTTCACATATATATTTACCAGGCTGCTATATATAACTTATTGCTTAATCATATTATTATTAGGGTGCGTTTGGATACAATGATTTGAATTTGGTATTTGTGATTTGGATTTCCAAATACTAAATCATGTATTTGGATATTAATTACATTTGGTATTTGGATTTGTGTCAAATTCATGGGGTGATTTCCAAATACATGTCTAGTGTATTTTTTGTCAACTTCAAATACATTTCAACAACTAGTGATTTGAAATACCTCCTAACAAAAGAATGGACCTATTTGTAAAATATGAAAAGTTTAGGTACTATAGTGCGAGGCAAAACATATAAAGGTACCAAAATGTAATTTTACCATCAAAATTTCAGGACCTTTTTGTAAAATTATAAAATTTTAGGTACTAAATTGTAAAAAAAAAAATTTGGGTACCAAACTGTAATTTACCAAAATTTGTAGTAAGTGACCAGAAATTTAAAAATTGAAATTCAAAATCATAAAATACAAAAGACAAACAAATTACAAATGAGTATCCAAACAATGAATTTGAATTACATGTATTTCAAATGTTAATATTTCAAATACATACATTTCAAATGCTAGTATTCCAAATAACTTACATTTAAAATACACTTATCCAAACGCATCCTTACAGATCAAGCAAATGGGTAGTTGGGAAAATATAAACAAATGGGGAGCCGAGTCTGCGTTTATATTATTCCGTCAGATTAAGAAAGTTGCCGTCCAAAAACTTGCATTACTACTGGCCGTTCAAGGAGTAATAATTTGGCGTTGACTCCGGTACTGTCCCTACCTGAAATAATAAGTATATATAATATGTGAGGAATTTTATAATGCTATATAGCATTGGTGTTATACGTTTTTGTTTTTATGGTACAATTTTAAAATTGTTCCTTTAACGTTATGGTACAACTTCAGATTGTACATATACTTTTTGTACAAATTCTTTTATGATACAACTTAAACTTGTATCTTATGTGATGGTACAACTTCAAGTTGTAAAGTTGTACCATAACATAATAATACAAATTCTCTTATAGTACAACCTAAACTTATACATTCAATGTTATGGTACAACAACAAGTTGTACATTAAAGCACCAATGCTATATAACATAGTAGAAGTGCTCATAATATGGTGATGTTCAACATGGTAGCGCTTCTTCCGCAAATGAAATGATTACTGAGATTCATGTTTAGAATGATTTCGTTGCAATAATTGAAGCTGTTCCTTTTATTCAAAGATTTTTATGTGAACACCGTTAAGTTAATCTTAAACATCGTCATAAATTTCTAGTAAATTCGCAAGGGCGAGTTATTTAATTAAGGTTACGATGGTGTCAATAGCTATAACTTTTTTTTTCTTTAGGGCAGTAATTACAGATCACATAATTTCGCTATCACATGTATAGACCACTTCCTCACGTCGTTACTAAAAATGGGCTTACTTATTAGTCTATATATGGTGGCAAATCCGCATGTAATCATTGATACGTTACATGCATTAATAGAGATTGAGTTCCCTGTGAAGTCTTGGATAATTAGTGGACTGCATGAATTAGTTTTGTGAGCATACTTATAAAGACACAAATTCATGATGGCCACTAAACCAATTGTGTCAAATAGAATATTTGACTTTTATCAATCATTAAGGCAAAAGACGTTACCAAATCCCTTATTCTTTTTCTCAAATTAAGTATATATCATAAGGGACGTACTATTTGTAGCCCTAAATTATTTTTATTTGTAGTCCTAAATTATAAAAAGTACAATAATACCCATAACATTTAAATACATTTACTTCACACATTCCAAGACCAAAACATTCAAAACACTTTTCCAAACACAATCCTACAATACTCGCCGCCGGCGACACCCACCTCCCGCCAGCGACCGCCACTTTCCGACGACGACAGCTCCTTTCTCCGACGAGGTACGTCGGCAAATTACCCGACAACGACGGACGAACGTCCTGCCGGGACGTCGCCGGCGATGGACGAACGTCCCGCCGGGACGTCGCCGATTTTTTATTTTATTTTTAATTTTCTGTTAATTTAAATTTGTGAAGTATATTAGATTTTTTAAATAGATATTAATTTAGATTTTTCGGTTATTATTTTAGATTTTTTAATTATCATATTGTTTAGAAAAATTTGCTCTAATATTATATTTAAAATGAAGTTATTGAATTTTAATTTTTCATATTTCGAAACTAAGTTAATGTTTCCTGAATTTAGACTTTTAATTGCCATATTTTAAGAATATGTAGTGTTTTTATTATTGTAATTTATTATTTTATGAATATTGTAATTACCATATTTTTAGTAGGATTTTTTATAATATTATTTGTAGAATGAAGTCCTTTAACTTCATTTTTTATTATTTTGAAACTAAGTTAATGTTTACTAACAATAATTTAGACTTTGAAGAATATTTAGCGATTTTAAAAGGAAGGAAGGGTAAAATAGTAATTATATTCTCTTAGGGCTACAAATAAGAAAAAGTTAGGGCTATAAATAGCAATTCAGATCATAAATTGGTGGATCCTAATAACTCAAATTGTCATGAGATACTCATGTATATACCTTATATCCTTTCTTGGCACATTCTCTCAAATGAATATTCTCTAAAAATGCAAGAAATTGTTACGTCCTAATCTCTAGGGCTGGGAAAATAGACCAGACCGTTAGAAAAACCGTGGTCCAAACCGTACCGCACAGTTTGGTCCAGACCGTAGACCGTGAAGTATGGTCTGGTCTGGTCCATGGTCTGTATTATTTTATGATTTGATCTCTTGGTCTGGTCTAGACCGCGGTTTACCGGACCAAACCGTTGATCCAACTGACTTGTCAATACTTGTTAACAGCCCATTCGACCACTCTCCAAACTCCCACAACCACACCCAAGTCTCAACCTTAATTTTGTGAATTTCTTCCCTCCTTCATTCACAACCACATTTAACCACAGAGTAGAGATAATTGTGTCTTCATATGACATTATGTTAATCTTTATGACATTATGGTGCAAGCTGGGATGCTTTTACTTTGTATCTTTGTTATGTACTAAGATTTAGAGTATCAAAATTATTCATGCATATTAGGAATCATGTTTTAAGGCAAATAACAATTATTTTTCTTGGTTATTGGTTCAATTTTTTGTGTGATTGACTAAACAAATTATTCATTTTTCGTTGAGTGTGGTCTATCTGGACCAGATCAGACCGAACCAGACCGCACAGGCGTGGTCTGGACCAGACCGTATAGTCTGTGGTCTGGTCTGTGGTCTATACTTTAGCCTCTCGGTCTGGACCGTAGACCGTATATATGGTCTGGTCTGGACCAGACCGCACCGTTTCCCAGCCCTAAATCTCTCTCAAACAACTCTCATCTAAAAGACACCGATTCAATAAATTGTCTCAAAAAAATTAATTCGTGATTCAATATTATTTTTGCATTAAAACAGAAAATTAGCGAAGAATTCGGTTGTCAAAAAAGGAAAATTTCTCCCTCAATTTTGGGTCAAGGGACTTAAACATAAAATATAGAATTCAGCCTGTATGCTTTGCTTACCAACTCCCGAATTGTCGTTAAATATATGTGTTTGATGACAAGGCTGCGGTGCTCGATCGAGAAAGAAACCAAAAACTAAGGAAATGACTGTTATGAAGAAGGCCAAGAATGCAGCCGCAGTTGACCTTCTTGTTAGGTAGAGCAGAGATCTTCGAGGACGTAAAGGAATCTTTATGCCAAATTAAACGACATGGCCTGCTCCTGATTATGAGATACTTATTAAAACCAAATTGCAAGCTTATCAGCAACAGTTCGTCGATGATTGTCATGCCTTGTTCTTTTGTGTATATAAAAAACATTATGAACACCACCATTTCAAGGTCTTTGTAAACACAAGTATATTACTGAATCCACTTTATGAATACAATGCTTCTTATTCGGTCGTGGTTATGAATATGACATGTGTTTTGTGACTTGCATTTTAACCACAATTGAATAGCAGCCAGACTGGCCTAGCCCACATGTTGGTCTTGTTCCGCTTCAATCCCGGCCCGTTCTTCCCATTTCCAATTCTCTCGCCCCTCATCTAAGTCGTCATGTCGTCTCTTTTATTACCCCTCATTCGGTCCAGCTTCGGTTAATCAAGATTAACCGCGATTCGTAATTGGTGTGATTACAATTGACAAATATGACTCGATTCCGATTGCAGTCAACCGCAATCGCACTAGTTCCGACGCTGCATTTGAATCCCAACAACTCCTTATGAAAACTTTATATGCTGACAATGATCAATTTGCAATTAATTAGTTATCACAACCTCATTAAAAAAAGATCATATCACATCGTCATTGTTTTAGTTTATCATAAGAGTAAAACTAATGAAATCAGAAGAAACAAGGCCGTTCAAATGTAGGGTTAGGGTATCAGCCGCCGGATTATTATATAAGTAACAGCTTATACAGTCGTAATCTTAACCTAACACTCGTGAGAGCAACTCCTCCCCTTGAACGGCAAAAATCCCCTAGTGCGAAGTTTTTCCTCATTCATACTGAAAACAAGACAAACAAACAAAAAAAAAAAAAAATCGACTTCGGCCGGAGGTGACCGCTCAACACAAACTGACATATCATTAGCTTTGTATATTGAAAATCAAGTCCACTAGACTATATAGATGAATATCTTAACATAGTGACTGCGACCAATTATGACATATGTTCTGACCAAATACTTGTATGTCCTTAATTTCCCCAATAGATATCCGTATGAACGCCTGAACTCCCCCATGCCAAATGCAACTAGACATTGATAGTAGGATAGCAAATGGCTCGAATTGTTCCCGAGGCCCGAGCGGATTGATTTTTGACTTGGGGAAAACTCATTCGAAAGTAGACGAGCTCGAAGGGTTTGCGAACTAGCTCGACTTGATGGTTGTGAAGCTCTTACTCTTATGTTGGCATGTTTAAAGCTCATGAACTTTGCTCGATTGTGTGTTCGGCAAGGCAGGCCATCTAGATGCTTAAGAAAGAATTGATTTATATATAACTATGAGTTGACTTATTGATAATAGTTTGTTACATTTTATATCTCACAGCATATGATGGTTTAAGACTTTGAGTTGGTGAGCAAATATGTTGTCCTATTTATAATTTGAAAGAGAAGTTATGCCCTATAGATTGCTTAGATGCTAATTACAATGAAATAACATGATATTTACTAAGTAAAATTTAAGAATAGATACTCAATGAATATGTAAATATGAGATAAATTCGTGATGAAAATTGAACTCTATCTCGTACTACATCACTTAATCACGTGACTAAATGAAATGTATGAGATAAAATCGTGATGGAAAATTGAACTAGATTTCATACTCCATCACTTAATCATGTAACTAAATGAAACTTGGCCTTGAAAACAAACCTAGTATGCAAAGATTATATGGGGTATCGGTATAGAATGTTGAAATAGAATTACGTACACTCCGAATTTACTCTTAACATCGCATGGAGAATTTGACATTCTATCAAATTTAAATTCTCAAAACTTTCATTGGAATTTAAGCACAAATCCACCACCCAAATCCTTCATTCAAACACCTCTAACCACCTTATATCAGCAATCTCATGCATAATTATTAATTAATGATGGTAACAAAAAAATGCATGTAAATTCATAATAAAAAATGCATGTAATATGAGATACTCATTTATTTGGGCTCCAAAAAACCAATGTTTAAGATTTAATAAATGGGCTCAACGCCAAGAACCCCATCATCTACTATAAAAGGCCCAAATCATTTGAATGGGCCCACCGCCCCACAATGCTTACTGCCCAAGCAAATGGCTCACGCCTCTTCCGCCACGCGTCCGCCGACACGGCTCATCCCGCGATGCAAACGGCGCCGTTTCGTACCTTCCCGCGGGGTTTCCGCCTTTCATTTCTTGCCGACTTGACTTCCGAAGAACGTTCGTTATCCTCCGCCGATCATTTCTACCGTTTCCCCCGCTCCTCCGCCGCCAGAAATTCCAGTATGGATCTCCGCGAGTTGATCGCCAGCCAAACCGACGTCGCTTTGTCACTCTCCAAGCAAGTCCTGCTGACGACCGAAGCCAAGAACTCCAACACCGTGCTCTCCCCGCTGTCGATCCACGTCGTGCTGAGCCTCATCGCCGCCGGCTCCAAGGGGCCCACTCAGGGTCAGTTGCTCTCTTACCTGAAGACCAAGTCCGGTGAACACCTCAACGCCTTCTCTTCCGAGCTCGTCTCCGTGGTTCTCGCCGACGGAAGCGGTGCTGGAGGTCCGAGCTTGTCTTTCGCTAATGGGGTCTGGGTGGACAAGTCGATCTCTCTCAGGCCTTCTTTCAAACAGGTTGTGGACAATGTGTACAAGGCTGCTTCTGATCAAGTTGATTTCCAAACCAAGGTACTCCCTTGATTTCTAGGTCAAGAGTAATTCATACATTGGAATCGTTTTTTTGGTGATTGCTTGAACTTTTGTTGTTCTGGATTTGGTGATTTTATCCGACTGATAGCTTTCTTTTTTATTACCCTGTTTATCATTGTTCAAGTAAGGAATTGGGTTAAGGTGATTTTGCTTGTTTGATGGTTAAGAAGCTTGCTTGAGTGGGGAAGTAAAAGGAAATAGGGATGGCAATTTTGCCCATACCATGGGTATTTTACTATCCAACCCAATTGGGTTGGGTATGAAATCCAAATATATGGATATGGGTAAAGTTTGATGGGTTTGTACCCATACCCATTTACTTTGGGTTGGGTTGGGTTTATAACAAATGGATTTGGGTTTGTACCCATGCCCAAATACAAATTACAGTTTGGTACCTAAACTTAATAGATATGCATATTTAGTACCTAAATTTTTTTTTGCATATAAGTCCTCAAAATATCGATGGAAAATTACGTTTTGGTACCTAAATTTTTTTGGTCTTACATTTTGGTACCTAAATTTTTCAAGTTTTACAAATAGGTCCAATTTTTGCATGTGTAGTTAAAACACCCTCAAGTAAATGGATATCCATATCCAACCCATACTCATTTAGATAATATCCATATCTAACCCAAACCCATATACAAACCCCAAACCCATACACACATCACCTAAACCCTACCCATAATAAATGGGTCTACTTGGGTTTGGACAAAATTACCCATGGGTGGGTAAATTGCCATCCCTAAAAGGAAAGGTAGAATTTTTAGGTTATGCAGTTTTTTTTTGTTATAGTTCCCTTGTATGTGGTTTCTTTGCACTGATTTTGCTGAATTGGTTTATGTGTTCCTTCTGCTAATATTGATGCTTAAAAAATGGATATGAAGGCTGCTGAAGTAGCTAATGGAGTAAATGCATGGGCTGAGAAACAGACCAAGGGGGTTATCAAGGAAGTTCTTCCTTCCGGTGCAGTTGACAACACCACTAAGCTCGTTTTTGCCAATGCCCTCTACTTCAAAGGTGCTTGGAATGAGAAGTTTGATGCATCGGCTACCAAGGACCATGATTTCCACCTCTCGAGTGGAAGCTCAATCAAAGTCCCATTCATGACCAGCAAGAAGAAGCAATTTGTTTCCCAGTTCGATGGTTTCAAGGTCTTGGCCCTTCCTTACAAGCAAGGTGAAGACAAAAGACGGTTCTCAATGTACTTCTTCCTTCCCGGCGTCAAAGACGGTTTACCTGCATTGGTCGAGAAAGCAGGCTCTGAGTCTGGTTTCTTGAACCGCCACCTCCCGCAGCAGAAGGTAGAGGTGGGTGAGTTCAGGATTCCAAGGTTCAAAATTTCCTTTGGATTCGAGGCTTCCAACACCTTGAAGGGATTAGGCTTGGTTTTGCCCTTCTCTAACGAAGCTGACTTGACCGAGATGGTGGAATCCTCTGTCGTTGGAAGCAACCTGAGTGTGTCGAGCATATTTCACCAATCTTTCATCGAAGTGAACGAACAAGGCACCGAAGCCGGAGCTGCTTCTGTTGGTGTCATAGCACTGAGAGGTTTGCCAGCTGAGAAGATCGACTTTGTAGCTGATCACCCATTCATGTTCCTGATTAAAGAGGATCTGACCGGAATGGTGCTGTTCAGCGGCCACATTGTCGATCCATCACAGGCTTCTTAGAATCTTTCCAATACAAGTGATGGACATGTTTTGTATGTATATCCAGCCTAACTAGTGATGCATTTACTAAATAATGTTTCCTTTTGTGTCAGGATTGCTCGCATAATTACGTTTTGAGTGCTGTAACAACCACTGTTGAGCGTGAATTTTGGTGCTCTGTCTGTATTAGCCTTGTTGTAGTAGCTATTTGAGTGCAATATGATTTAGACGTTTATACGTAACAGCTTTGATTATTGAGATGACCTATGGCAGATAATATTAACAAAGACTACGCAATAGAGAATAGAGGGTCAAACACGGACAGAAGGAGCTCACTTCTACAGCCACATGAGCAATTTGTTTACTTTATTTAACTACAGGCTATAAGAACAGCAGAGTGATGAGAAACTTCACAAGGAAAAAAGAAAGTTCACCTTCAGAGTCCTGTTTTGTTCCACCGAGGAATTCGGAGAATGGAGCTCCAACCAGACATGGCTTTGGTCCTCTCCAAGCACGTTCTACTGACGGAAGCCAAGAACTCGAACGCCGTGATTTCCCCGCTGTCAATCCATGTCGTGCTGAGCCTCATCGCCGCCGGCTCAAAGGGATCCACTCAGGACCAGTTGCTGTCTTTCCTCCAGGCCAAGTCGATCGATCATCTCAACTCTATCTCTGCCAAGCTCATCTCCGTTTTTGCTGAGGGAAGCGCCAGTCGAGAAAGTCCAAAACCGTCGTCGTCTTTCTTGAAGGGCAAGTTAATTGAACATTTCAACTCCATCTTCCCCAAGCGCGTCCCCGTTTTGGCTGAGGGAAGCACCAGTCGAGAATGTCCTGAGCTGTTGCTTGCTAATGGGATTTGGGTGGACAAGTCGGTTCATTTGAAGCGATCTTTCAAACTGGTTGTGGGCAATGTCTACAAGGCTGCTTGTCATGAAGTCGACTTCCAAGCTAAGGTACTCAATCCTTCGAAATTGCTCCTTTAATCCTTCGAAATTGCCAAGGCTGGTTGTGGGCAATGTATAGGTAACTAGCTTATAACCCGGCCCGTTGGCCGGAGGACATTACGTAATTCAATAATTAGATATTTATCGGGTGTATGTTGGAAATTAACAATCATGGTTCAAAATAGGAAATTTGAGAATCATAATAGGATTACCAATGCATTCCATCTCGTCTGAATTTTTTGAAAATCCAACCCGCTTTCCCACGACCCGCACATAAGTAAAACGACATCATTTTGTAACTAACCATAATAATATGAATAATTTATGAATGCTATTAGTCTTTATAGCAATATAAACACAGTAATATGAACAATTAATGAATATTATTAGTCTTTATGGAGTTATATTTGTTGAAATTTGTTTGAGCACATAACGATGTGGGCATTCAAAGAAATCATTTATGGATTTGTTAGCAAACTCATGGGCACCCGTTAGGTTGGGTTTTCACTTCTAAAATCATCTAATGAGTATTTTACTGGAATTCTTTTATGAATGCACCCGCTGAATTGAGTTTGATATCGGAGAAACCCAACTCAACCAATCCATTGTCATCCCTAATTACTCTTTCATCATTGCCAAATTTAGCTAGCCAATGAGTTTTATTTAGGGAAAATTCTACGAATCTCGTCATATTCAAAAAACTGCGAAGTTGGTTAATGTTGATCCTAACATCTCCCACTCTTCAATTAGACGGGTATCTATAGATTCTTTTCCTCACAAAGGACCAGGGATGCTAATCATGTATGTCTTAACTGGGGTAGTCTACGAATCATGACAAACCATGTAGAAAAGCTTAGCTAGCACGACAATTAACCACTACTGAAGCACAACAATGTGTTTTTGGTTTCTTTGATGAGCACACGCCATAGCTTGGAAATAGGAATAGTGGCGCTGATTAGAAATGTAAGAGCAGCGCTAGAAGCTTCCTCTTTGCTTGCAAAAAGTTGTACTCAAATGGAAGATAGTAAATTAGTGCTTTTCCTATTGTAGAAATGCCTGGGTGCCCATGTTTCAATATCAGAAGATCAAGAAAAACGGTTCAAATCAAATTACAGAGTTCAAAAAGAGGATGCAACTCAAAACACATAATTGGTTTATACATAAGGAGATGGTCGAGCTTCGACCAAAAGGTTTCAGATGCATCCACAGTCCAGACCAATTCCCATATTGTTCACTTTGACCAAGTGGAATAAGCAGGCGAAGACGTTCCATATCAGTATCCACATGACATTTATAACTATTGTTGCAGCAAAAGTTGATTCATAAAGCAGGGCTGGAATGGAAAAAAGGATAGGAAGAAGCATACAAATACAAAGTAGAAAAGAAGCAATCAAACACATTTGCTATAGAACAATACGACTTTCTAGAGTTATGTTATCTACTAATAATGAACTTGCAATATGACACAAAATGGACATTGTGTGATGATCAACATGATCCCTCCTCTCTCAACCAATAATATCAATTGATATACCAATTGTACACATTCAAAATGAGTATTACTAAGTTTCTCTAAAAACAAATGTCATGGATTAGAGTGCTATGGGCTCTATCAATGGTTCAATACCGAGAATTTCGAGTTACACAAATCAATTGACATTAGCATAATAAAATTCAAAGGAAGTTCCAGAATAATTGCGATGGACTGCAAGCAAAGGTTAATGCATGGTTTGATTGTAATTTGCAGTCCATGAACATGATCCTCGTCTTTTTAAATGAACTCTGACCATACTTTGTTGATTTGATCATAAAATAAACTAAGACAACCTAATTAAGGTATGGGGATTCAGGAAATAACTACATTTCTAAGACAATGATAAGAAAGAGGGATAGTACAATTAGAAGACAGACTCACTTGATGCCAAGATCAATATGCTTCTGGATACCGAAACCAAAGCAGTCAGTGTCGCTGAAGTCACTCCTCAGGAGCTCGTACTCTTTAACCTTCCTTGTCACCTTGTGACCCGACATAGTAAGCACGAAGAACTCCTAAAAATATTGCTATAAAAATCCTAATAAAAGCATACACTCTGAATAAACTGGGGTTTGACCGCTGATTTGTTCCAGCACCTGCGAGTAAAGTAAAAAAGTATCACTATATGGGAATAATGGAGGAAACTGCTAACAATCTAGAGCAAAGAAATAGTATCAGAGAGAAATACGGCGATGGGAACCTTGGCAAAGCAGTTGAGGCATTCTTCGCTTTTTTTGTGGAGAAGTTGAGCACCAGTTCAGTGCTGGTTCCGTATCCTAAATTGTTCACATTGAAGATTTGCAGCAAGGATAAGGGTGACATAGTTAATCCATTTTCAGTCAATGAATTGGGAATAAAAGCAGCAAGAGGGAAAGATAGCTAGAACCAAATGAGCAAGCTGTGGTCTCATTTCAGGTAATCATGCAAGCTATGGTTCTGGAACTTAAGAGTAAAAAGAATCAAACCTTACACAATTGATGGAGTACGAAGTTGTCCTCGCCTTCAGTTGTGCAACCTCATCAATTTAGTGTTGCAGCTTAAGAGAAAATACAACCACGCCATATTCATGTACAATAATAACTTCTCCAATTACTAAAGTACAACAAAAACTTTCGAAATACAAAAAAAGAACCTTCTATCGACAATGCATGACAGACTTTTCTATCAAGTAGGAGCAGAGCACATGACAATAAGAAGTCTGATAAAAAAATGAATAGCGAAAAAGCTTTGTTCAGAGTTTGGCTGTACAATTTGGCAGCTATGACTTGTGACCCTCTTCTAAAGTTAGTTAACCAACAATATGCAATTTAGAAGAGCATTGTGGAGCAGAGAGAGAGAGAGAGAGAGAGAGAGAGCACCTGAGTAATTGGTATCTAGATCGAGATATGAGTCTTGACTCTTGAAGCAACATATACCCCGTTGTTTGGATACTATCCTCCTCAGTGTCATCGTGAGTGAATCATCCAACGAAATCTCCATTTAGGTTAACCCTCACAAAGATGTCATCTGATGTAACTGTTATACTTTCATGGCCCAAGATCACTTTCTATAAGTGAAAAGAATAGGTTGAATTCAAGAGGTTTGATGTTTGCTTATCTATGTATAAGATAGGAAAACACGTACCTATACAAACACATCGCACATTTATTATTGTACTTAAGTAGTCAAGTGACGAAGTGCTTAAATCATTTTCTGGATATACCAAAGCAAGCTGGAAGAGCTTTCATCACGAAGCGCCGAGGTCAAAACGATATGTTTTGCAGCCAACCTTCAAGAATCCTGCAAAGTAGCAAAGACATCACTCCTCAAATCTATGAAAAGGAAAACAACCATATAGTCCACCCATCAACACACAAAAAGACAGATCAGAATCAACCTAGATGCTTGAAAATCCATCTACATGTAAAAGCACATAAATATCCAGTTAACTGATTCAATTGGATGGTCTGCATAGCTGTTGAGTATTTGTCATCTCTAGAATCAACCTTAGAAAAGAAATCATGTAAGAAGAAATGATGAAATACATAACCATTTATTAGAGAAAAGAGCCATTCCAATAGAATTTCACTAACAGAGTACAATTTTTAAACAACCCCCCCCCCCCCCCCCCACTTCAGCAATGAATTGATTAGAACACCAACCCCATTGTAGAAAGTCAACCAGCTAAAATCTAACCTTATGCTGGAAAATTGAGAGAAATTGGGACTTACCCCAATGCTAATAATGACTCCAATCACCACAGGAACCGAAGTGAGGTATGTGAGCCAAGCCTCCCTCTTGAGAGTCATCACATAAGCAAAGACGCGATGAAGAACAGGGTAAGGGTGCTGATAAGCTTCATAAACATATATGTATTTTGTGCATAAATGATTGATCTTTATATATATGTGTTTAAATTGCTCTAAATTACTTCATATTGACCATGGAATGGCCCTAGCGTCATTACCAAGACATGTAGCAATTTAACACAGATTGAAACTAAGATTGTGAACAAAACAAAGTGCAGTGGACGAATGCAGGTGCAGTGTCAAAATGCAGATGTGCAGAGGCAAACGTCCAGCAGGAGACCAAATCGATGAAGACCCAAATCGAATTATTGTGGTTGGAATCTTCACTCAACTGTCAGCAACCCTTAGAAATTATTGGGATTGGGTCAAATTTCTTGAAGTGAGCAAATGGATTTGGTGGCTCACCAATAGAGAAAATGATGCAAGAATTTATTGCAAAGAAAGAGACTTAAGCTAGCAGCAGCCTTCTCTTGGAAATGTGACCTGCAAGTGTCTTGTTTTGTGGGATTATATCTGTAGAAAATGGATTTAAAAGGGGCAGCAACTAGGAGAGTAGGGAGACACTTTTGGAGACTAGTTTTAGACAGAAAAATCAAAGGAGAGAGCTCACTTTGGCACACTTTGGAGTTGAGCATTTTGAAGAGAGGAAGACTCTTGTGAGTTGTGGATTAACTTCAACACTTAGTACTTTCTCTACTCCTTTGTTTTGGTAGTTAGTCATCATGTTGAACATTAGCATGTTTATGTACTTTCTTTTCATCATGAACTAATCCCCCAATTTCTGGGGGAAACTTATGGATTTCATTATCTAGCCTCGATGTTTTAATCATGACTTGTTTTTCTTCCATTTTCTATCGTGTAGAATTGTTTAACGCTTTGTGTTGATTGGCCACCTTCACAATGATTTGTAGTTTTCTAGGTTAATAACGATAGTGAAAACCTAGTAACCGAACACATTTCACACGACATAATTGCCTATCGAAGCGATAGTGGATTAAATAGGGAATTATGCAGTTATTTCAGGGATATCGTTCTTAAGGCTAATTAATTAATTCAGTTAACTACGATAGTAGAAATTGTCTTAATTAGTTAGTACGTGGTAATTCTCGATAGAGATAGCTATCAAATTATAGGTATCCCGATTGTAGGAATATGGATTAAATCGATCGACAAGGGTAATTAAACTTACTGAGGTAAAATAGTAAAATCTTGTGTTTCCCCCGGAACTCTCCAATATCAATTTCTCCAAAATAGTTGATTTATCGAATTACTTAAGTTGTGCAATCTTTGCAAACATCACTTGATTACAACCTTTGGAATTCCTATAGTTTCTTGAACTAAATTTGTTAATTATTGAATTTCACCAATCCCCTAGAGAACGATAATTTTACTTACACTTTATTCCTATACGGAAATATGTTCTCAAAGAACTCTACACTATCAGATTCTATCACCGTATTAGGATGGATGTCAGAGATTTCTGATTTATAGACCAAAAATCGATATGCTTTGCTATTATTGGCATAACCAATAAAGATGCAATCTATCGTTTTAGGTCCCAATTTGACCTGTTTTGGTTTTGGTACTCGAACCTTTGCCAAACACCCCCACACTTTGAAGTAATTCAAGTTTGGTCTTTTACCTTTCCATTTTTCATACGGAATGGTTTGCGTCTTACTGTATGGTACTCTATTGAGTATTTGTGTAGCAGTAAGAATAGCTTCCCCCACAAATTCTGAGGTAAACCCGAATTTAGGAGTAAAGCATTCGTCATTTCCTTCAAAGTTCGGTTCTTTCTTTCCGCAACTCAATTTTGTTGTGGGGTATATGGAGCCGATGTTTGGTGAATAATTCCATTTTCTAGACATATTTCTTCAAATGGAAATTCATATTCACCACCTCTATCACTTCTGACCATTTTTATTTTCTTGTTGAGTTGGTTCTCAACTTCTGCCTTGAATTGTTTGAATGCATCAATCGCTTCATCTTTGCTACTTAGCAAATATACATAGCAATATCTAGTGCTATCGTCAATAAATGTTATGAAGTACTTTTTCCCACCTCGAGATGGTGTCGACTTCATGTCACAAATGTCAGTGTGAATCAAGTCCAATGGTTCAGAAGTTCTTTCAATCGACTTGTAGGGATGTTTCGCAAACTTTGATTCCACACACACTTGACATTTAGATTTATTGCATTCAAACTTGGGCAACACTTCCATGTTTATCATTTTTCGTAAGGATTTGTAATTCACATGTCCCAAACGGGCATGCCACAAATGATTTGACTCAAGTAAATACGCGGAAGAAGCGTTATTATTATTATTAATAACATCGTTCACAGTAATTACATTGAGCTTGAAAAGGTCATTATTAAGATAACCTTTTTCCTATATACATATCATTCTTGCTAATTACAACCTTATCGGAAACAAACACAACCTTGAATCCGTGCTTGACAAGAAGCGAGGTAGACACCAAATTCTTGCGAATTTCCGGTACATGGAGGACGTTGTTGAGGGTCACAACCTTGCCCGATGTCATCTTCAAGACAATCTTTCCATATCCCTCGACCTTGGCCGTGGAGGAGTTCCCCATGAATAATTTCTCCTCCGCCTTAGCCAAAGAGTAGGAAGTGAACATCTCTTTGACTGCACAAACATGGCGGGTAGCCCCAGAGTCTATCCACCATTCTCTTGGATTTCCTACCAAGTTACATTCAGAAAGAATGGCACAAAGTTCATCCATATCCATATCATCAACAATATTAGCTTGACCTTTGTTCTTCTTCTTCTTGTGGGTCTTGCACATCGAGGCTTTATGCCCTTGTTTCCCACACTTGAAACAAGTACCATTAATCTTCTTGTTACCATTGTGGTTCTTTGTACCGGAAAAACTTGGAATAGAGTCTCTCTTCCTCTTCTTTCCCTTGGAGTCACTCTCCACAATGTTTGCACCAGAGATG